TCTGCTATATGCTGATGTACAGCGGTGTGAGCTCGAGTATAAACACCATTACCGCTGTAGGGCAGTTGTTAATTGCGCCTGTGATGTACATACATGTAAAACGTGAGTAAGCGCCTTCCAGTCACTAGGCTAGCTGTGGAGTTCCAGGCCACCGCTCCATAGATTATCATTTGTTTGAAAATCATAGTATATATATATATATATATATCATAGTACATCCATCTGAGTATTCGAGGACACTTGTGGTTCTGGATGTTTTCATATCAACGTCTTTCTTCCATACGAGTTTTGTTTCGAGCATGATGCCCGAATAAATCACTTCCGCGGTAGTGCTGACCTCTGCGTCATCGAGGCTTATAACTCTCATTTCCGGCAGACTCCTTATTCTTGTGCATGAAATGGTGGCGGTTTTTGTTGGGTTTGTGTTGAGACTCATATTCACACGCCACTGCTTTGTTTGTTTAGTGCCCTTTGGATTATGTAAAATATGCTTTTCTTGAATTCCCCTCTTGCTATTATGACTATGTCATCCGCGTAGCCTTGTCCTCGGACTCCATTGTCTGATAGTGTTCAGCTAAAACTAAGCTCCAAAGGATTGGGGATAATACCCCCTTTTGGACATATTTTCGTAGTTTTTAACCGTAGAGAACTGTGGCCTCTGTTTTTATTCACCTACGAGTAGGTGCCTGCACACCTCTTTTTCTAGTACTAGAATAAAAGACCTCATGTGAGATGTTGTCGAAAACTCCTTCTGTATCAAGGAAGGCACAGGTTACAACATTTCCATAGTTAAAAGCACTCTGGATTAATCTTATTAGCTGGTACAGGATAGGTGGTGCTCGACCGGGTTTCATTATCAAAGACATTCTCTACTGATTGACCTAAAGGATTTAGCTAAGAAGCAATCCCTTGTTCTTATCTTGGGTATAAGCGCTAAGTGGGCTCTCCTATATGCACTTGGGTTGCAGGCTAGAACTAAACTATTCTTCATTATATTCACTAGGTGTAAAATGACTATATAGATTCTCATCCCATTGTAGTAAAGCCGAATAAATTCCATCCACGCCTCGATACTTATGCGGATCGAATGAGTCCCCTCACCCAACACTTGCCCACGAAGCAAGGCTTTTTGCCTCATTCGGATGGGGTTGGTCTGAAAATCTTTAAAGGCTGTTCCATAGTCTGTTTGAATGAATTCGGAAATAGTGAGGAGAGTAGGACGCGTGCTCTTGCTGCCCCTCTGCCAACGTATGTACCATCCTGCAGATTTGTTTGTTTAGTAAATTGCGAAAGATTCAAAGTGGAATTTATGTGAATGTAATTTTGCCAATGGTCGATAATTTTTCCCTCATACGAATATATTGATGATTTTTTTGTACTAATTTTTCATCAACTACAAATTTAGACTTCCAGACTGTTGTAGTGTTTTTCGGTTGACTAATAAAATCAATTACTCGTACATCGTTAAAGGAGGTAAAACGTATATACGTATACAAATAATCGGCAATCAATACGAGCGTACGATCACTAACGATGTGCTCGAATTTAGTTAGATAATGTCGGAAGTGCCTTTTGAGGCGTAACGTTGGCGAATCCGCCAAGCCATCTTAACCTAATCTACCCTCACTATAAGCAAAATTGAAATAAATACCAAATATTTTACATTTTATGCAGAAATCAATTCCTATTGCTATTCGCTTTGTTTGCATTCCTCATAAAAGTGTCAAGACTCTTCGTCTCTCAAGGAAATATGTATATATGTATCTCAATGAGAATATCATTTCAAATATTTAAGTTTATGCTGAACCATTTGGATTAAAGTGGTTGCATAAAATTTCCACTAAGTGCACAATTGCAGCATAAATGAATGAAAACAAAATCCAAAAAAAAGAGAATAAACTAAAAGACGAACGAAAAACGTGCGGGGTATACGTGACGTATGAGTAATACGGGTAATGGCGAATAGGTAGTAAAGAGTCAAATAGCACACATACGTCATGGCACACATCTGAGGGTACTTTAGAACGTATGTATGTAAATATGCCTATGTACATATGTAAATATACGTATTTATATATATATATATAGTGTTTTTAGATTCACACACATATTTGCATATTTACTTAGATACCTACCTACATACATATATTTGTATATATGTAAATATGCATATATGTATATATAATTATTTGCGTGCGACCTTACACACGACAGATTATAATTATAAAAAAGTTAATATACAAGTATGCATGCAAGTACATACATATGTATGTATGTTCGTCGGTAATGCGCATTGACATAGAAAAATGTTAAATGGCGACACTGACACTCAAATGAAATATGAAACTAAGCTAATAAATTGCGGAGGTTAAAAGTAAAACAAAGTGGTAAAAAAGTCAGCGAAAAGTTAATGTACGAGCAAACAGATAGATGAAACATGGGGGTGAAGTAGAGATAAAAATTATAAAAAATTAGAAAAAGATTAGTTAATTAAGTTCTTAATACCTACAGGCAGATGTAAATAATGTACATATGTATGTACGTACGCACGTTAGACCGTATCAAAAATAAAAGTTTAATTTGGTCCAAGCGTTTTTGAACACTCACTATGAAAGAATTTCAGGAGTATAAAAAACAGCTACCTAATGGGGTGTTTACATGTTACATATAAAAGTACTAAGGTATTTATTAGATAAAGGAAAAGAAAGAGCAACCGGTAATTTTTAATTTTTCATTTGTGTGATTGACAATATAATAAGATGCTTCGTGATTTTCGGGAGTTTTCGGAATTTTAAAGATTTCTTCAGATTTTTGGAAATTTTTTTCTGTGTTTTTCGTGATTTACTTTTCGGGAGCTTATTAAGAACTTTGGAAAGTTTTTGGAAACTTTTCTCTATATTTTCAGCACTTTTTGGGATTCTTCGTGCTATAATTTTCGTATTTTTCTGCGATTTTCTGGAACTTTTTGTAGTTTTTGATTTTTTTTGGACTATTATGAGATTTTCGAGATCTTTAAAACTTTTCAAGATTTTAAACGAAATTTTTGAAATTTTTTCAGGACTTTTCTTAATTTTTCTTGCGTTAATTTTTTCTCGGACGTTATTCTGAAATTTTTCGAGATCTTCCGGGCCGATATCAATATTCTTTCGGGACGTTCCTTTCTTTTTGTAGGACTTTTCGGGATTTTCCAAACTTGTTGGTATTTTCTCTGGATTTTTCGAATGGTTTTTGTTATGTTCTTGAATTATCGGTGTTTTACTTTTAGGAACTTTTAAAAGAACTTTCGGGACGTTTTCGGAACTTGTCAAAATTTTATACGAAATTTTTTGAGATTTTTTCGTGTCTTTTCGCTTTCCTTTGTGTTATATTTTTCCGCGACTTTTCACAAATATTTCGGGACTTATTTTGAATGGTTTATAAATTTTGTAGCACATCTTCGATTTTCCTCGTGCTTGGCTATTCGAAGCTTTTTAGGAACTTGGGGGGTTTTTCGAGACTTTCCTTTAGAGTACTAAACTTTTTAGTACCTTTTAGGGGTTATTGTGATACTTTTCGGGACTTTCCCTTATTTTATCAAGTTTTTCGGGGTTTTCGCAAGCTTTTTAATATTTTCTTTTGTCAAATTTTTGAGGACTTTTTCGGAGTTTGAGAATGGTTTTGGGATTATTTCGAGATTTTCGAGATATTACAAACTTTTAAGATTTTCTTCGAAATTTCGTGTAAGTTTTATGGTTCTGAATACTTCTGTTATAAATTTTTTTCAAAATTTTTCTAAATAAAGTAATTAAATGCTCTCTTAGTCATCTTTAGTCCCGTGGAAACAAGTAAATACATTTTGTAATTAATACTTAGTCTGCAGCAAATTAAATTTTACTATGACTGGTACATACATTAGAATGGGCTGCAATAATTTGTATAAAACTAACAACTAACTAACTAACTTTCGCATTGCGATTGACCCGGTCTAAAATGTAGCGAAAGTTTTGAAAGCGGTGTGTTGAAAAGGTGTTTGTTTCTTAAAACCAAAGTATAAGTATTTACATACTTTTTTTTATATATAAATCTTTCAGTGAACCCAAATACTAAATACCTAAATAAACAAGTTTATGTTCTCGAAACCAAAGCATGAGTATTTACATACTTTTTAAGCAATGCTCGAAGATTCACACAAAAGCAATCAATTGCGTCTCTATTTCGTCCACTTATACTAACACATTTAAATGCGTACATCCTTTTTGCCTGCTGCTCCCAAGCGTAGTCCTGCAATTATCATTAGCTGCTTTCACTTGTACATAGTATGTATGTACATATCTTCAAGTATTCATCTGAAACTCGTTGTATTACGTATCTTCGTCAATCATTCTATTGTGTGCAAAGTGAAATTACTGTCAGCAAGGAGAGCTTTTCAAGTGTTTGATATAAAGTGAGTAGCAGAAAAATAGCATACTTAATGGTGTAGGAGTTATTTTTTGCCTTGAAATGCAAATTACGAAATGAAAATTATAGACGTTCCAAATAAAATTTTGTGTGTGCAAACACATAGAAAATAATAAAAACGAATATAAAAATTAAATGGCAATCCAAAGTGTACGCTTACACTATAATTTTAGTTTTATGCTCCAATAAAAACCCAAGCGAAATCCAATAAATCTAAGAAAGTAGTTCATTCTCAATGTGTGTGCTGAGCGCTGTAGTATACCAACAGGCGCCTACACACCATTAAGGTATAACTAGATGTATGATTGTCGGCTTATCTCATGAATTAATGCAGATTCGCGCTCATCACTTCAAGATAATAAATATGTAAATATAAAGTCTGCGAGGCACGCCTATAAAGCTAGTCTAGTCGACAAATCGCCCGTTACATCTGATTAACCGCAATGCGAGTAGTCTTCCCATATGTTTGCTCTAAATCTTGTATATTTATTTGCTCTTTAATAAGTAACGTATATGGATTGAGCTTTAATTTTCCATTTTCATTACTTTTTCTTCAGCTGATCAACGCAGAATATTGGAGGCAATGACTTCGCGCGTAGTTATTAAAAAAAGACAAGAACACAAACTAGCTCAACGCTAACGCTTAATACAAAAGGTTTAATTAAAAAACGAACGGAGAGAGGAATAAGAGGAAAAGTTAACGAGCCGTAAGCATCATCAACAGGCGCGATTAAGTGAGGGCAACGGACGAGAGTTTTGTTAAGACATTGGGAGGCGCTGCAAAACAAAAGAACGCATAAGTAGTGGAGTGACGGAATAAGTGAGCAACTAAAGGACAAATACAACGCATCACTCTCCAACAAAAAATCGTCGTTATTATTACTAAGTACTTAGAGTAAGTAAAGATCATCGCAGGCAGCGTTTGTCTGTCACAGACAGTGTAACCACAAATAAACGAAGTACACATGGCTCAGTATGGTGGAGCACCCAATCCATTCGCTGGTGGCGGTGGTGGTGGTTATGAACAACAGCCCAGCTATGGTGGTGGCGGTTATGGACAGCAGATGGGCGGTTACGAACAAACAGGTGGTGGTTATGATCAAACTGGTGCGAGCTATGATCAAACTGGCGGCTATGGTGGACAAGGCGTCGCTGGTGGTTATGGCGGAGGCATGCCAAATGCTGGAGTAGGTGGTGTACCACAGCAACCATATGGTGTGGCAGCACGTCCACGTGTCGATGTAGAGGCTACTGGTGAAGTGGACCCGACGCTGTAAGTGCACTTAGTTCACTTTATATTTTTATATTACTACACTTTTCATTGCAGCTACCCCGAAGCCAAGGAATCAACGCACAAAATACGCAGTCATGCTGATATTATCGAAATGCTCTTCGGTCCCACCGAACACGAACTCATACCGGTGAAGGCCTTCTATTTCTTCTTCTTTGCCGCTTTTGGTTCGCTTTTTCCACTGATGGGTGTCTATTTCAAACAGATGGGCATGAATCCCGGTCAATGTGGTATATTGATTGGCATGCGTCCGTTTGTGGAGTTCTTATCGGCGCCCTTCTGGGGTTCCTATGCAGATCGGTAAGTAGCTGTTGTCCGCTACATAACTGCTGATTAATCTCCACTTACTATGACAATTTTTAGCTGCCGCCAAGGAAAAAAATTGCTTTTGGGTTCGCTCGCCTGTTGGGTTCTCTTCACCATACCGTTAAGTTTCATTAAACCAGAAGCTGTGAATTGTATCGAACGTAAAAATGAGACGGATTTCGTTTTGACTCTGACACGCACCAAACGTGATCTTTCCGCCTATGATATGGCCGACATGAATAAGGAGAGCGTGGAGAGCATCAACTCACAAGCAGCTTTACAAGGTGTTGCCACGATGCCGGCCAGCGAAGTGGTGGAGGAGTCGCATAGGAGGTGAGTGTGAGAAGAAGTTCTTTGTAGAAGAATTTCGCGACAGTGTTAGCGGTTGCCTATCTTTTGAGTGCTCTAGAGTCTTAGCTAAATCGCCTATAATTCAATTATTCAATCTCTTTCTGCCTCAAGACGCAAACGTTCGCTTATTCCTCGTATTGACGCCGGCATCTCACCCATCCATATAAACTTTGTCAGCAATTACGATGATAAGCAGCATCGCGACTATGTTAGCCCGATATTCTCGTCCATGGTATATCGCACACCAGTAAGTATTTATATTGTAAAATATTTTCCACAAGTTTTTTTTTACTTATCTGCCCTCTTCGTAGGACATACAAAAAGCATTCTTCCTGCTTTTGCTCGTCATACTCATAGGTGAGTTCTTTAGCGCTCCAGCCATCACACTCGCCGACTCAGCCGTCATCACTTTGCTCGGCGACGATGCAGACAAGTATGGCCATCAACGCATGTTTGGATCACTCGGTTGGGGCATTTCCATGTTCGTTGTCGGCATTGTACTCGATCATTCGACACGCTTCTCACATCATCCTTGCGGCGCTGGTCACATGGAAAAGAACTACAATATCTGCTTTGCCATTTTCTCGATATTGATGACTTGTGCCATAGCGTCGGCCTCGAAGATCACATTCAAATATGATCCAATCGAACTTGACCAACAGACAGTCGAGAATCCGGATGCCACGGCAAATAAGCAAGCCGAAGATGAGTCCATGGCCGAGTTAGCTGCGCAGCTTAATTTACCTTCATTAGCGGTTGGTAGTGGTACGGCTGCAGTTGGCAAAGCACCACAGGCCGCAGTGGGTGCACAATCGAAAATATTTGCTCAAACTACTAAGGAAATGCCCGAATGGCTGACTGTCTTGACACATTTCAAGGATATGAAAACCATTTCTTTCCTATTCGTCGCTTGGTTCATGGGCTTCGGCATCGGTCTGATTTTCACGTTTCTCTTCTGGCATCTGCAAGATTATGGCGGTACCCCGACGCTCTTCGGTGTTGCCTCTGTGATCAACCACGTTTCCGAGATCTTTGCATATTTCTACAGTTTCCGCTTCATCACACAAATCGGTCACATCAAAGTGTTGTGCCTGGGCTTGGTTGGTAATGTGTTACGCTTCTTGTACATCTCCTACGCGACCAATCCTTGGATGGTCTTGCCATTCGAGCTGATGCAGGGTATCACACACGCTGCCGTTTGGGCCGCCTCCTGTTCGTACATTGCGCACTGTACACCCAAACATTTGCGAGCTTCGGCACAAGGCGTACTACAGGGTATACATCACGGTCTAGGACGTGGCTGTGGTGCGATCATTGGTGGCATGTTCGTCACATACTATGGCACTACGGAAACATTCCGCGGCTATGGCTTGGCTTGTCTTGTGGTCTTGGGTGTTTTCGTTTTCGTGAACTTCTATCGCAAAGATCAAGGCTTCATTTCGGAATTGCCACCTACGGAGGACCCGCGTCAGGTAAACGTCTTTAAAAAGTACAAAAATATGGGATGAGGGGATCATATTATTCTATTCTGCAGGTGGCCGAAGAGACCTCACATCTGGCGCCACACGGTGTACCCAGTAATCCGATACCGCGTGCGCTTTCCAATGCGCGTCTAAATGAGATGAATCCCAATGGTGGTACTGGCAACAGCTACGGCACTTATCAGACTACGGGCGGTAATCTCGACATACCTGGCGCTAATCCACACAATCCCTTCGCGCAATAAACTGAAAATCGCATTGAAGTTGTAGTGAATTTTGAGAAGTGAATAGCGAGTTTTGGATGATTTTGCATTTACGTAGGTTTGTATGCACGTACTTACAATTTGTTGGAACAGCTTTGAAGAGATCTATTTGTATAGTTTATATGTATGTATATGTAGTTATGTATATTGATAGAAAATTATTGTTATTACATCTAAACGTGTTGTTATTAGTGTCCCGCGGATCCAGTTATAGCAGAGGGTAAGGGATATCACACAGAGATACCCAGCAGAAAATCACGGTCAAAAGGAGTCCCGGGGTATGAAAATTCTATTCAGTTCTACACTGATGGATTCGAGCTAGATAGCAGGGTAGGTGGAGGAGTATACACTGAACAAATAGCGCTGGACTGGTCCTTCCGCCTTCGAGACCATTTCAGTGTCTCTCAGACCGAACTAGCGTCTATACAAGAAGCTACTGACAGTCTACGTCATATAGCGGCCGCAATAAATATAGTTTATGATTCCATAATTATAAATTCGGATAATGGCGCAAATCCCCAAATGAGAAGAAGTTCGCTGGAAATGGGAAAGCAAACAAGGACTTGTCAGGCAAACTTGTGTGTCCAGAGTGGGACATAAGAAAATCGCGAGAGCTGCTATGATTGAAAGGGAATGAATTATCGTTATCCATATGATTACTGGCCGGACACATACTCTTAGGGACGCACGCAGAGTTGTTAGGTGTGGCTGATAATGGCTACTGCAGGAGCTGCATTAACGAAGAAGAACCGGAGACTGTCAGGCCCTTACGGTGCGAATGTCCAGTGACTGACAGCCACTGACTGTGCGAATGAGAAAAATTTTTGCGCAAAGGATTTCTAAACGATTTACGCAGCTGCTCAGTTTTACTAACTCCGAAAACTGGTTTAAAGAGGAGTAGGGGATTGTTTTCGGGATCTCTTTTTCCATGTGCGTAGAACTACGAAAATGGTCCGGTGTGTCCAGCCCTAATCTCGTGGCGTTTTTCACAAAATTAGACATTCAGAGGACGATCTTTTACAAACTGCTTAAAACTGGCCACTGGTATGCCTATGCCGAATGACATCTTTCTCTGTAAGGTTGTAGCATTTTCTCACTAATTAATCAGCTTTGGAATCGCCCTCAATACCGCAGTTTCTAGGCATCCATATAAGTTGAACCATATTATGCAGGACCATCTTAGAAGTCTGCGACAGCATTAAGTAATGATCTGTCTATGCGCAGGTAAAGCTTTGGCGGCTGCTGGACTGTTAGAGTAGATGCAGACTTGTTTCCTCGATGTATGTCTTTGAGCAAGGGCCCATGCTGCTTCCTGAATGGCCAACACTTCAGTTCGACATACACTGCAGTGGAAAGGGGGGACGAAACATATCCCCAACCCGTATACAGCTGAAAAAACTGCTCCTCCTCTGGCACTCCCTTCAAATTTTGCATCATCTGTGTAAAGTTTATAAAATTACTCATATAGCTCTCGCAGTCCTGTGGTGTTAATATTACAATTTTGTACTGATAGGTACTCATATGTAATAGAGATTATTGCCGATGTGCTTAACATAGCCGAACAGCGCCTGTGGTTCCCTCGATTAAGTATTTTTGCCGAAATATCGAGCAATAAGATCAATCGGAGGTAGATGCTTCATCGAATTCGGGGCGTCCAAGAGCAGGGTCCCACTTTTGAGAAATTCCTGCCTTAATGGCTGGTTTATGAGGTGATATTGATATCATGTGTAGGCCACCATACTAAGAAACCATAGAGAATAATGTGAGGGACGATTTCCGAACATTTTCATTGTACTACCCTGGGAAAGAATCCCCGTGATACGAGTATTTCATATCTCTTTTTTTGTAAGTAAAAAGTGTCGTTGGGCCTAACTTAATGCATTTCGCAATGTTGTCCTTCCACAGCAGCTCGCTATTCCGAATTGCTCCTATGTTATTAACCTTATTTCTGAAATTCAGGCTGATATTATCTACTTGGGGGCTAAGAGCGTAAGCACTACTCCTTCTCACACTTTCCACCCAATCCATATAGTGTGAAATTAATAAGCTGGCTCCTTTTGCGTGATATAGTGAGATATTCTGCTCAAGGGGCGATGTAAGGTTGTCTAATAACTCCAAAATGAAAAAAAACGTCATCGCAGTTATTCAAATTGCCATTACCATTAATATTCCCAGTAGCATGACCATTACCATTAATACTTCACCTATCATGAGCATTAGCATTACAAATATTATTGCAATTACAATTACAATTATCATCACCGATACCATTACCAATATAATCACCAGTACCATGACCGTTTCATTACTATTACAAATATAATTACCCATTACTACTACTATCACCTCTACTATTACGATAAACATTAACAATACCATTACCACTGGCAGTACCATTGCTTTTACCATTACCATTATCATTATAATTTCCTCCACTATTACCAGCACCATTACCATTACCATTATCATTAGGTACCATTCCCATTAGATACCAAAAATAATAAAGCAGTGCATCCAAAGGACAGATATGGAAAGATATGGAATTTGCAGGTATCTATGTAGGTATTCACAAAATTACAAAGGTTTTATGCCTCAACACTTCGCTCTCTGCTATAACTCGAATTTGCAACAACTATTCTCTAAACCAGTTTGTTTCATTACATTGATAGTTAATTGAGTAAGCGAAATCGCAATACCAAATAGTTGTATTTATTAGCAAATTTTACACTTAATTCAAAATTAATTAAACGAATATTCTAGATGTGTTTTTCGAATTACATACATACATAAATGTGTACTATTTCAGAACTGTTCAAAAATTAACAAACTATGACAAAAACTATAAATTTTAGTTATAAAATTTGAATAACGAAAAGATAAGAAAAAAGTAAGATATGTATTTAGAAAGTTAAAAAATTAAAAATTAAAAAAAAAAAAGATTGACAAACGCAAAATAAAAATACTATATACTAACCAAGAGAACGCAAACATGGTAATGAAAAACAATCAACTTGAATGTGCAGCAGCAACTACAAGAAAGCAAAGCAAAACAGCTCAGTGAAGAATTTGTATCGTAAAAATGTAGTATGTATGTATGTTAAAGGAAATGAATATATAATAAACTACACATAGAAATGTAAGTGAAAGCACTAATGAAAACGAAAAGTGAGAGGGAAATTTATTGCACTAAACATATCTTGGAAATTGGCCGGCTAAACCTAAATAAATAAAATTTATAAATTTTTGATTGCATTGCTAGATGTTTCTTTGTAATTTTGAAGTGCTAAAAAAGAGATATGAATTTATTAAACTTTTTTTTTGCAGCGTTTTTTATAAATGAAAAAAACAGTATTGGAAAACTATTAAATTATGCTAAAAAAGAATTTTTTGTGCGCACCAAGCTACAAAAAAATTCTAAAAATATATACATATATATTTATCTTCATGTTTATCTTCATGTACAAGAACATAGCTTTGTATGGAGAGATTGGAAACTCAGCATTATGTAAACTCAAAAAAAGCTTTGAAACTCGCAAAAAATTTCGTAACTTTCGCTGAATTGTCAAAATTTATTCGGTATATATTTCCCAGTTTCGGGATTTCCGAATTGTATTTATCTGTTTAACGGTATCCGCTTATGTAGTATGCAATGTAGGGAAATTAAAGTTTTTTATTTAAAATTGTTTAAGATGCTTTATAAATTTGAGAAATACTCATAGTTGAATGAAATAAAGGGTTAAATTTAAATTTATTTAATTTTATTTCACACAAACGTTTATTTACAATGTGATCTTTAGCGTGATATTTTGTTGCAATAACGCTCAGGAACTAAACAAAAATTCGAAATTTTTTTTTGGGAATAACGTACTATTTATTTATAAAATTATATAAATTATGAAATCCTTATTAAAATAAAATTTTGTTGGCCTTTAGGAATCAAACTATGTATTTATTTACATACATATGTATGTGCATGCATATATATATATATATAGATCCCATGTTATTAAAAAAATTTAGTCGAAAATCAGATTGATTGACCTCAGTATGCGAATCACATGTATACATTACGGTGGTCCAAAAAAAAGTAAAGTCAAAATTTCGATGCTCTCGCCCCCTAAGGCTGTTCTATATCGAAAAAAATATACCCCTATTTTGAAATCAAAAAATATTTAGATGTCGCTGAAAGCGCTCAAAGTTTTTCATGTATTTTATATGGGGAAGAAACTACTTTTCGTAGAAATGGTATAGAATTCTTGAAAATCAATATTTTTCGATCGGAAAACGCTGGTTCACTTCAGCAGACTTTTAATAATAATACCCAATTGTTTATTTAACCATTATTTAATACTGAAGATTTTTTATTGGCCACCTTAATACATTTTTCGGGGTGTTTAGGGGTTTTTGGCGGAGCTATACCTAAATTATATTTAGTTACTATGAAGAAATGGTTAAAGAAGCAATTGGGTATTATTACTGGGAATCTCGTGATCATAGGCAAAGTTTTCCGATCGAAAAATATTGATTTTTAAGAATGCTATATCGTTTCTTCGAAAAGTTGTTTTTTGTCCATATAAAATACATGGAAAACTTTCAGCGACCTCTAAATATTTTTTGATTTTAAAATAAAAAAATATGGGTACACTTTTTGTCGGTATAGAACAACCCTAGGGGGTGAGCGCATAAAAGTGCCGACTTTACTTTTTCTCATGCATTTTTGGACCACCCTCGTGTACATACACCGATAACGATATCTTAAACTATATTGAGTAATTTCAAAATCGATATTGATACTAATATCTAAAAATATATCGAGATTAACCAAAATTTCTATCAAAATATAGATACATATTTAGATTAAAAAGTATTCGAGTTTGACGCCGGGAACGTTATCTAGATGCCGAAAATTTATAGGTAAAAGCTATCGATAATATATACTATATAAATCTATACTAGCAAGTTTATCGACACAGGTTTTGTTAAAAATGGCAATTAATATATTGTGTCGATGTCGATAAATATATGTATGTATATTTCAATAAAAATTTTGACAAATATTGCGATACAAATATATTGATAAATGCACTAGAACAAAGTTTGTAAGAATTTCGATAAAAAAATGTAGCGACGTCGATAACGAATGCTTAGATGAAATATCAGCGACCGAAAATTTCCATTAAATACCAAGATTTTTAAGTTTAGATCATTGAAAAATCGTGTTTATTTGAATTTAATTTTTATCGGTGAAAATTAATCGCTATTCAAAAATAATGGTTATTTGAATTTTTATTATTTGCGATCATGTTTTTAACCGTTATAATGGAGACTGAGTTTTTGTAACCGATTTAAATCTTTTTTGAGCTTTTCAAGCTTTCAAAATCATGCAAGTGGCAAGAGTAAAATCTGTCTCTGCATATAACTTTTTTTCTTTAGACAAAAAATGTGCGAGAGAGCTCTTACTGCTTACGCGGTCATATAAAATTCACAGAAAGCTGGTATTGTGGAATATTTTCTAGTCATGACTGATAAAGGACGAATGCAGGGTAAAAGCTTCCTCCGGCCAATATTGCTTTTGTGCTTTCAGATTTAATGGTTCCTAATAAAATGATGATGCACATCCCTTTGGCTGCGTGCAGAGCTTTTTAAGCTTTCTATATATTCTCTATGAAAATGCACAGAGTTAAAGTTCCCTCTGCAGTTAACTGATAATAAATAATTGGCATTTTATTTACCTTTTAAACGTGAATATGTAAAAAAGTAAATGCTTCTTTTAAGGCAGTAAAAGTTTACCTTTTCCGTTGAATTCGATACTCCCAAATGTTTCTAAAAATTTTCGCCTAACCAAACTTTCTAAAATGGTGCATATGTCCGATTTAATTGTAGCCAATTGATCACTTACGACCAAAATAAATCTTACAGGAGAAGCTTTTTGAACCCTTCTATAGGTTTCATATAAAATCTCACTCTGATCGTCGCTGCCATAAATGGAGCAAAAAGCTCCTTGCCTTCCCTTTGTAAATTTTTCTGAAAATATTTACCGAACTATGATGTGTGTATATCAGCGATGACCAGAGAATTCTTTTATTCTGCACTCGTCTATACAAAATGTATAGAAGGCTTAAGAGAGCTTTGCCCGTGGACAAGGCGGTGCCCATTACTGAAGAATAGGGAGAGCTTTTAGTTTGTGAGAGTCCGTATAAAGTCCATGGAAAGCTTTCAAAAATTGTATATAAAATGTAAGCATAGAAGTTATGACCAACGGAAGAAGTTTTCTAAAGCTTTCGGTAGATTTTATCTGGTACAAGGTAAAAAGGTAAAAGCACTCAATGGAAGAAGCTTTCGGAAGATTTTATTTGGTACAAGGTAAAAGCACTATCTGGTGCTCTCTGGTGTATAGAAAACCTAAAAAAGCTTGACGCGTATACCACCTTAATGACCATCTCTGCTGTTGAGCTCCCGAACTTACGTGTCCCCTCCCCCCTTTTCAAAGCGTTTAGTGTGCAGCTTCGAACTTTTTAGAATAACACAAAGTAATCTGTGCAATAATAGTAGAAAAAACTACAATAATAATAAATAAATAACTAGTTGAATGCACATGTACTTGTATACAAATATTTCATAGAAAAATTTAGTTGCAAACATTTAACATCACAATCATATCATTTTAGCAATAAAAAGAGTATTTATGTAGCTATTTTGCAGACAAAAACACAGAGTTTAAATGAATGTTGAAAATAAATTTGTAGGCTAAAAGAATGTGTAGCTAAAGAAATAAAGGAGAAAAAGCACAGTAAATACATAGTGGAATTAAATAACATATGGATATGAAAGGAAATCAATAAGAATAAAGCGGTAAAATACCTAAATGTTGTACCTTGGTAAAAAAATAAATAAATAAAAATATAAAAATGAGAAAATATAAAAACTGTGAAAATGCAAAAAAAAATAGAAATATGAAAACGGAGAAACACAATAAAATATAAGCTAGAAAATTTAATTTGGTATTTGTAGAAGGTGATTGTGAATATGAAATTTTTTGAAACTGCAGCCACTGATCAGCTTGTTTTGAAGGGTATAAAAACTACCATGTGTAAATTTGGGCATACAAAATTTTGACACAAAAAAATTTAATAAATACAATTAATAAAAAATTCAAGTAAATGCAAATTGCAGCAAACGAATGATATTATTCAAATCCGCCTCATTGATCAATCAACCATACATTAAAAATAAAGTAAGTATGTTAAACTGAACATCAGAAAAAAAAATTATTAAATTCATGTACACATACATACATACACACAAGCATAAACAGCATTAATCAGTAATAAACATGAACTCATAAGGAATAAACTAGAAATAGCTTTAAGTATGAAAGTGTTGTCGCAATGAAAGATTTAGAGAGGGATTTGAGAGCAAAGGTCACAATGACAGACAGCTAGATGAAAGAGACAAAGAGCGCACATAACAGAGAGCTAGAAACAGAGAAGAATAGAGGGTGCACAGGCATTATAATGAGAAAGAGAAAACGAAATAGTATAACGGAAGCAAGAATGATAGAATATTCTCTCAATCGTGTAACGGAAGCTTTGGCGTGCGTGACGGAGAAACAATGTGAAGAAATGATTTTCTTTGAATACTTTTTATTTAATAATTTTTGGTTGAAAATTATAAATTTTTTCATACGAGTTTTTTTTTTTAAGTTGGCAGAATTGTCTGCTGATTATGGGAAAATAGTAGAAATAAAACAAATACGAAAAAATATTATGTACCTAAGAGCTTGAAAAAGGCAACACGACACAAGTGAAGGAAGCAAAA